GCGACGTGAGAAAAAAACACCTTAATATACAGAACTGTGCGATGCACCAGCATCCATAGATCTGAGTTTGCTTACGCACTAGAGAGGACAACACAGCCAAAGCAGTAACCAAACTCATCCCAACACCACAAGCTGATATATGTTTCAGCAGGATGTACTGTGGCTGCCACAGGAGCTGCTGAAATCTCACTGTCAAAAAAAGGAGAAATACGTTTGCAGATGCCAAAAGGACACAGCAAAGAAACACAAGAAAAAATGCCCGGAAAGTTTTCTCTGAATTAGACAAGTCCCAGGAAAGACAGCTGGACATTCCATCCACAAGTTGATCCCAGTCGTCTGTAGTTGTCATGTTGGATGAATTGGACAGAGAGCTGTTTGAGGGATTCAAATGCAAAGTTTGCCCATTCATCCTTAAACACAGAATACTTGTATTTGTCTGATTGAGAAAGGGTCTTGAACAGGATATATATATATATATATATATATATATATTTATTTATTTTGAGAGGAGGGGCCACAAATGCATCAGACGTTACCGAGACTGGAGAGATGGAAAGGTTATCCTGCTCACACGAGAAGACAGTCCCGTACAAAAACAAAAAATATATACTTTTATGTTGTTTGTATCATATCTTATGTATCTTCAGATTTCATCCATCCATCCATTTTCCTCCGCTTATCCGGGGTCGGGTCGCGGTGGCAACAGGCCAAGCAGGCTGACCCAGACCTCCCTCTCACCGGCAACATGTTCCAGCTCATTCTGGGGGATCCCGAGGCGTTCCCAGGCCAGCTGGGAGATGTAATCCCTCCAGCGTGTTCTGGGTCTTCCCCGGGGTCTCTTCCCAGTTGGACGTGCCTGGAAAACCTCCAGTGGGAGGCGTCCAGGAGGCATCCTAATTAGATGCCCGAACCACCTCAGCTGACTCCTTTCGACGCGAAGGAGTAGCGGCTCGACTCCAAGCTCCCTCCTGATGACCGAGCTCCTTACCCTATCTCTAAGGCTGAGCCCGGCCACCCTACGGAGGAAGCTCATTTCGGCCGCTTGTAACCACGACCTTGTCCTTTCGATCACGACCCAGAGTTCGTGACCATAGGTGAGGGTAGGAACGTAGACCGAGTGGTAAATTGAGAGCTTTGCCTTCCGGCTCAGCTCCCTCTTCACCAAGACGGTCCGGTGCAGCGCCTGCTTTACTGCTGCAGCCGCACCGATCCGTCTGTCGATCTCCCGCTCCATCTTACCCTCACTCGTGAACAAGACCCCGAGATACTTGAACTCCTTCGCTTGAGGTAGCAAATCCGCGAATCGCCACCTTAACGTAGTGGAGGAGTTTGAGTGGCTCAGTGATCCTGGGAGCTATGTTGTCCGGGGCATTAGCCCCTGGTAGGGTCTCCCAAGGCAAACAGGTCTCGGGGGAGAGCCTAGACTAAGAGCGGTTCAAACGACCCTAATGATAAGCAGCCCACGGACTTTAGCCACCTCGCCTGGACCAGGGAAACTGGGGCACCCTCCCGGAGCCAGACCCAGGAGGGGAGCTCGTCGGCGAGCATCTGGTGGCCGGGCCTTCGTCCATGGGACCCAATCGGGCTCAGCCCGAATAAACAGCATGGAGCAGCCACCCTGTGGACCCACCACCCGCAGGGACAAGCATCGGGGTCGGTGCAATGCAGACCGGGCGGCGGGTCAGGCGGGAGGCCTGGGCGAGCCGATCGCCGGCAGCATAGACTAGCTCTAGGGACGTGGAACGTCACCTCGCTAGCGGGGAAAGAGCCAGAGCTGGTGCAGGAGGTGGAGCGATACCAGCTAGATATAGTTGGACTCACCTACTGATCGACTTTGTAATCGTATCATTTGATCTGCGGCCGTATGTCTTGGACACTCGGGTGAAGAGAGGAGCAGAGCTGTCAACTGATCACCACCTGGTGGTGAGTTGGATCAGATGGCAGGGGAACCGGTTGGAAAGACCCGGCAAGCCCAAACGTGTAGTGAGGGTGAACTGGGAACGTCTGGCAGAGGACCCTGTCTGGGAGGTCTTTAACTCCCACCTCCGGAAGAACTTCTCTCACATCCCGAGGGAGGTTGGGGACACGGAATCCGAATGGACCATGTTCAAAGCCTCTATTGTGGACGCGGCCGCTAGGAGCCGTGGCCGGAAGGTCGTCGGTGCCTGTCGTGGCGGCAACCCGAGAACCCGGTGGTGGACACCGGAGGTGAGGGAAGCCGTCAAGCTGAAGGAGACCTTCAAGGCCTGGTTGGCCCAGGGGTCTCCCGAAGCAGCTGACAGGTACCGGCAGGCCAGAAGGGCTGCAGCTGCGGTGGTCGCGAATGCTAAAACTCGGGCATGGGAGGAGTTCGGGGAGGCCATGGAGAAGGACTTTCGGTTGGCCTCAAGGAGGTTCTGGCAAACCATCCGACGGCTCAGGAAGGGAAAGCAGGGCTTACCCCAGGCTGTTCTCAGCAGGGGGGGGGGACTGTTGACCCGGACAGGGGACATCGTCGGGCGGTGGAAAGAGCACTTTGAGGAACTCCTAAACCGACCAACATGTCCTCTGCAGAGGAGGCAGCGCCTGAAGATTTAGGGGGAGGCTCACCCATATCCCTGGCAGAGGCCGCTGAGGTAGTCAAAAAGCTCCTTGGTGGCAAGGCGCCGGGGGTGGATGAGATCCGCCCTGAGATGCTGAAAGCGCTGGACATAGTTGGGCTGTCCTGGCTGACACGCCTCTTCAATGTCGCATGGGGGTCGGGATCAGTGCCCATGGACTGGTGGTTCCCATTTTCAAAAAGGGGGACCGGAGAGTGTGCTCGAATTACCAGGGTACTGGAAAGGAGGCTCCGACCGTTTGTTGAACCTCAGATTCAAGAGGAGCAATGCGGATTCCGTCCCGGCCGTGGAACAGTGGACCAGCTCTTTACCCTCGCAAGACTACTGGAGGGGTTCTGGGAGTTTGCCCAACCAGTCTACATGTGCTTTGTGGACTTGGAGAAGGCTTTCGACCGGGTCCCTCGGGGGTTCTTGTGGGGGGTGCTGCGGGAGTATGGGGTGCCGGACCCATTACAACGGGCGATCCGGTCTCTGTACGACTGCAGTAGGAGCTGTGTCCGCATACTCGGCAATAAGTCAGACACGTTCCCGGTGGGTGTTGGCCTCCGCCAGGGCTGCCCTTTGTCTCCGGTCCTGTTCGTGACTTTCATGGACAGGATATCTAGGCGCAGCCTGGGGGTGGCGAACGTCAGGTTCGGGGGTCTCGGGATCGCCTCTCTGCTGTTTGCAGATGATGTGGTCCTGTTAGCCTCCTCGGATCGTGACCTCCAGCATTCACTGGGGCGGTTTGCAGCCGAGTGTGAAGCGGCGGGGATGAGAGTTAGCACCTCCAAATCTGAGGCCATGGTGCTCTGCCGGAAACCGGTGGATTGCTCCCTCCAGGTGGGGACGGAGTGCCTACCTCAAGCGAAGGAGTTCAGATTTCATCCATTAGTTAAAATAGAAGAAATATATATATGATAATATATAAAAATTAAAAAAGCACTTTTCCTGTTGGCAAATTGAAGTGCATTCATGGTCAAATCAAATTGAAAAAAAAATATTGGAAAATGCTGTTCAATCGTACACGCATTTGTAATTTCTCGAATTTAATTTTTGATTCAAACTTTTGACGTAGTAAATATTTTGCAGTGACAACACTAAAATGCTGTGCGAAATCAAAGCATGTGTTCAGGTCCATAACTCCAGAAAGGCAGATATTGCATGAATTGTATCTCCTCAGAACTTCAATGAAGCTATAAAATGCCTTTCACTTGACATTAAACCCTCGGTGCTGCAAATATTGTGAACCCAGTGACGTAACATTTCCACCCAGGTGGACAGTCAAGTCCATCTGTTCCGAGTAAGCACTTAACGGTGGAATTGAATAAAAGGGATAGTTTAAATGCACACCTGCCAGGCACTCTGAAAAGGTAACCTTTAAAACAGCTGTCATATTTATAAGCAGTCAGTATAGGTACATACAGGCTACTTTTCTCCCATCAACCTTTACCAATTGGCCTCAATTTTCTACGTCTAAGCCATCTTCGTAGAAACCCCATCGCTTAGGCCCCATCTACACTGGGCTGCTTGAAGACATTTTAATGACTGCCTTTTTTCACCTAACATTTCAAAAGTCAGGCACATGGTGTCTCAAAGCGTTGCAGGAAAATGTCTTGCTTTGTTACATTACTGCACGTCCTTATTATCAGGCTGCTCTAACAGGTCTCTTAAATCTCTCCAGTTGATCCAGAATGCTGCTGCACGTGTACGAACAAAAGCTAAGAAAAGAGATCACGTTACTCCTGTACTAGCTTCTCTGGCCTGGCTCTTTGTAAAATCACAAACTGAATCTAAAATCCTTCTCCTCACCTACAAAGCCCTAATTAGACATGCACCGTCATATCTTAAGGAGCTTCCTGGGATACACTGAGCTCCTCTCTCATCTTCTGCTACTCTAATTATATGAATCATTTATGTCATATGCATTACTTCTGTCCATCCTGGGAGAGGGATCCCTCTGTTGCTCTCCCTTTTATTTATTTTTCTCCCCGTTAAAGTTTTTTTTGGGGGGAGTGTTTCCTGCACTGATGCAAGGGTCCTGGGACAGAGGATGTTGTATGTTGGTCTTGGTCTCTTCGTACCTGAATCCACCCGATATGAAATGTCGATTCATATTTTTTCCTTTCTAAAAGATGACTCAGCAAAGAATAGATATTATTCCTCTTTGAGCAGTACGGCCCTGTGAAGGTAAACGAAACACAAACCGCCACGACATATCTCCCACCGAAGCAGCGTCAACTTCAAACAGCGACTGAAATTTATTTGAATTAAATAAAGTCTTGTACATTTCACAGCTATAGGGGCCTACACAGTAAGCAAAACAAAGTCTACTCTTTGTCCATGTGCAGAACTACACCACAGGGTAGTTCAAGACAGTCCGTTGTTGTGTGAATAAAGGTGAGGGGGGGGGGGGGGGGGGGGGGGGGGGGGCGCGGCTGGTGGAGAGACGAGGGCCAAAGCCAGAGAAGTGACTCCTCAAGAGAAAAGAAAGAAAATCCATCTGCATGACTTCCGGAAGCATTTTCATGCCGATTCCTTCCAAAGTTACACATCCCATTGATTAATAAAAAGTTACAGTCTGCAAAATATTTCACCATATCATCATGCGTTAAAGGCAGATAGCTGAAGTTCTTTGTAATCAACACATAGAGACTGGATTCATTATACTTTAGCGATATTGTAGGTAAACTTCTTTTGTTCCCCCCGTCCCCCGCAAAGTTGTAATTTAACATTTTGTAATGGAACTTTTTAGTGACTGAAATTATCATGATCTAGTTTGGAAATGTCTCTTGTCGAATGCTGTCTGACTTCCTCAATGTGGCGTTCCCATCCTGGAGCGTCGCTCTCAGCCCGCCGCAGACTTACGACAGCACAGCCTGGGAGTTCTTGATGCCGGCCATGTTGTCGACACTGACAGACCTCTTCATAGTGGACTTACACAGGTCCTTGTACTTGTCCTCGCACAGCCGGGAGATGGCCTACAGACAAAACCATGAGCAGGAAAACGGTTACTACCGAACCAACAAAAACAAGGAGAGATGTTTTCACATCCGGTGTGAATGCAGCGTACTCGCCTCCAGTTTTTGGGCCCGCTTGTTGCTCAGCGGCTCCAGAGGGAAACTGAGGTTGTTATCGTCCGCCAGCGAGCGCAGGTCAAAGTAATACTTGGCGTAGACGCTTCCTGGGACGTTGATGTTGAACTGGAGCAGCTCCAGGAAGTGACGCTCCATCTCGTTCCTGCGGGGGGGGTGGGAACAAATCCGTGGAATCAGGTTCAACATATTGGGCTGCGACACGTCTTGGTTTTAGCTCAATGAACAGTAGGGCGACACTCACATGTCCTCCACTGTCATTTCTTTGAGGATCTGGCAGTAGTCCACGTTCCACACAGCCTGGTCGTCCCACACCTTGGAGGCCAGCAGAATGGCACCGAGGACAATTCGCTTCCAGTTACAAGGACAGATGTCCATCTCAGCATACGTCAACAGCCTTTCCAGGTATACCTGACAACCCAAACGTCGGTTTTACACAGGACACACACACACACACACACACACACACACACACACACACACACACACACACGAGGGTCTCAACCCGTTGTTGTGAACTTACCAGAGTGACGATGGCGCACTCGGCCGTGAGCTGCGCCGAGCTGAAGAGCGTCCGTATGAAGCGGTAGATGAGTTTGTGTTCTGGGTCGACCACAGAGTAGTCATCTGGAACCTTATCTCTCTGTCGGGCAGAAGGGGTCATCACCGTTATGGAATCGGCACAGAGCGAACAGTAAACGGCGGCTACTTCGTGCAGTGAAACGCCTAAACTCACCGACAGAGGGTGCTTCTTCTCATCGAAGATGTCCACCGAGCGGTTTGAATCTCTGCAGGAGCAGAAGATTAAGGAGCCAGCGTTAAACAAGCAAACACAAGAATAACAGTTTAACAACAACCTGTATGAGGTCAAATCAACAACATTTCAAACGTTTCCTACCTGTTTTTGATGTGATAGTATATGGCCAATGTGACGCTGGAACAAAGAGAAACCGACACGGATGATGTGATTTTGCACCAAACAAGAGCTCCTATGTTGCGTTATCGTGTCTTCCCTTTTTCTGTCGTTTTTTAACACGTGACCATAACCTGCTAAAAAGGAGTCACTCACCATTTGATGGTGCTCTTGAGGTTGGGCTGGCTGACCGTGCTGTCATCGAGGAATATTGTTGAACAGGAACTGTACTTTTTGGTCAGGAGCCCCGGGGACATCTGCTACAAAGAGACGATAATGCACATGACCGGAGAGACACCGAACATTTAAACAGAACATTTACGGATCCAGTTTGTTGTGTGTGTGTGTGTGTGTGTGTGTGTGTGAGGGTGCATCTTTGTCACTTACATGATTCAAGTAGTTGCTTTTCCTTTTCTCACGCACTGAAATGGGGCGAGAGAGAGAGAAAAGGAGTTTTAGGAGATTCAGAGAGAAATAAAAAGCACCTTCATCAGAGAAACACTGACCGTCTGTCTGCGACTTGTTGAGGAAGAGGGTGCTGGCTCTGGGGTGGTCTGATGGGTTGGACTCTTGGGCCAGTTCTGTAATATGCAAAAAAGGGGACGGAGCATTTTTAGAGGAGAGCATTATTATTATTTTTATTATTATTATTATTATAATAGAGACTCTTGGGTCATATCTATATTTTTGGGTGCACAGAATGCGTTTGACCCCAAGAGTCTCCTCACGCACCGTCTGGGAGCTCCCTGTCGCTGATGTGCTGAAGATAGGTCCCGGTGTCCTCGCTCACGTCCTCCGCGGTGGTGATGGGACACTCGTCCAGCTCCACCTCCCTCCTCCTGTGGATCTTGGGACTCTCGCCGGGAGAGATGCAGCAAGACACCGAACCTCCCATCGTTGTTGACCTACAACAGTCCTGCTGCAGCCATAAAACTAATGACAACACCGGGGACAACTTAATAGCACCAAAGTAAATGCGGATCCGTCTGCCTCTGGTTTTAGATGCGCTTGAGAGTAGAGTGTGATCTATGCAATGACAGCCAACCGGGTGTCTGCGGTATGTGCAGGACAGCTGACATATTCAGGGCGTGTGCGCAGCATAGCACTCGTGCACGTAGAATACGAATAACATGCGTCTGGCTGAATACTTCTGCACGGTGAATATCTGATATCAACTCTTTTCACGGAAACAAGAGGCTAACAATACGATGTCACGAGCTCCTCTAGCTCCCCCCACGCTAGCTTCCGCACCTCAATCCATTCTTGGCTTTTCGGCAGCATGGCTCAGTCCATTTCCACTGCGGTTGAAGTCTTTTGTCACAATTAAAAGGCTCTCGTGCAAATTCCGTAACCGGAAACAACTCTTCAACTAAGGAAGCGCAAAGGGAGCGAGTATTGGATTCATACACAGATAGCCGACGCTAGCTTTCATATCGTCGCATTAACGGGAGACACGTCTTGGATGTCAAATCCACCGAAGAAGTTAAGTTCAGAGGTAACTTCTGGTTGTGGCTTTTCAAAATAAAAGTCATCATTGTGGATTTTGATGGCGTTGCAGCGAACGCCATCAAACGCAGTATGTCGGCAATTATTTATTATTATATATTATATATATATACAATAATGTAAATAGATCAACATTACTACAAATATAAAACATGACTAGAAATCAAAATTAAATCAAACTCTGAAAATAAAATTAAACTGCAACTGTTCAGCTTGAATTTATGCAAATTAAAATAAAAAAAGATGATCACAGATGACACAGATGGTATTTAATACAAAATAATTACGGAAAATGTCAGACTTGTGAGAATAAAATCACAATTCTGAGAAACAAAATCAAAGTAACAACAAACAAATCTTTTTCTGTAATTGTTTTATAGTTTGAACTTTATTTTATCCTCATGCAAGGGGGTGAGATACTTTATTTATTTGATCCATAATAGTTAATTTCTCTGCTTTTATTTTGAGTACAGGAACGCAAATTAACCGGAAGCTCTACTGCTGATATGTGCTGTGAACTTTACAGATCTGGTGTGCTTCATCTGCAGGTACCGCCCCCTCAATTATAAAGAAAACAGACGCTGAGAAAATCCGTCTTAGGCCACGCCCATTATGAACCCAGACGTTCCTATTGGTCACCTTTAAGCCAAGCTGTTACATAATTGGATAAAACTGCTCAATGATGTGTCAAGAGTGTACAAACAGTTAAATGTTACTGTTCGTGAATAACATAAAAGATATTAACGAAGTCAGTTTGACTCTTCGAAATGGCATTACTGAAGATACCTATAACGTCATTCTGCCTACTTGGCATGGGGTTAGGGTTAACCACACGGTCGGCCGTTCGATCCCCAGCTCGAAGCTTCCTCGCTGTCATACACATGAATGACAAAATAAATTGAATTTTACAGGTCAATTATAAACAGAAGAATAAAGTATATTGTTGACGCCGTAGGGGCATGCGCTGTCACGGTGGCCGAGAGGTTAAGGCGTTGGACTCGAAATCCAATGGGGTTTCCCCGCACAGGTTCGAATCCTGTTCGTGACGTGTTTTCGTTTTGCTTTACCTGGGATGCATTTATTCTTCTGACGAAGTGGCATCAATGTATGTTTTGTAATATGTGTTTTCAAGATTCGTATATGGATTACAGATAGTTTTATAATGACTCCAAGCACCCCAGATAATACCGCTTTCACTGGGTGAATGGGATATACAGATTAATTTAAGCATTTCCTCAAATATAGTGGGTTAAATGTAACCGCCATGTATAATATAGGCTGCCCAATTTACTTTATCTTGTGGGGAAAAATCTGGATATTCAAATATATTTATTTATCAAAAAATGTTGGTCACCGAAAACTAGTACCTCTCGCAGATTGCAGCACCCTCACATTAATAACTGCATTTATTTCACAATACTTAGCCTTTACTGCAATGTGCATGTTCATGTGCAAGTGTGAATACACAAAAAAGGAATGACTGGACACTTGTTTGTTGTTTTTATTTTAATTAACTTGCACTGTAACCATATCTAAAAATCCGAGGAGTCAATGTTTACGCCTCATATTTTGTTAGTGAGAATAAGATTGTCATAGTTGGACAAAATTGACAGTAACATACATACTGCCCAGATAACACACATACTGCTTTAATGCACACCACCATTCCCTTTCCAAATAAAATAAATACACAATGAATAAATACATCAACGCTCCATGTCAGACAAGTTGAATGACAAGGATGCGTTCAGTAACACTCCATCCCTAAATCTAACCGAGCAGTGGTGCAACGCTTCCCTGTGCTTTGCATCTTCCTTTTATAGTAGCAGTGATTATCAAAGCCAAGAGCACAACGACTGTATTGGTGTGCTTGCAGAGACGTTTCCTTGAACACGACAAACCTCTCTGATCAGCATGCTGATCTTGTGTCCTCCTGGTCTCTACCTCCAGCCTGCGAGTACACGTTTCCACCACGTAGACTAGAGGTAGGGTGTTGCAGTTAATATCGTCCTCTGGTCATTTTGTGACCCGTGCTTTAGCGCCCTGGTAATTTGCTTCTTCATGCTCAGGAGGTCTCCCTCCTCACAGCGGGAGGTGAAGGGTGTCGCGTTCTCCCTTTTCGTGCTTCAGTAGCGCCCCCTGTGGTTCGTCCGGGACATGGTGAGTGGCAGAGACACGGAGGAGAGGGAGGAGACCTCCCAGTAGAGGGAACGGGAGAGGAAGAGCTGGTAGAGGACCACCACGGCGATGGACTGGCAGAGGATCACACCGACAGTCACCACCTAGGGAGGGGTAGAGAGAGCGTGAGAAACTAGAAAGTAAAAACTGAAATATTGAAGAATAAAGATAACTTTTCGCATTCTAACCTTCTCCCTCTGGTGGTCGTTGAAGACGGCCGACAGGAGGAAGAGGACGGGATGACAGAGGAACCACAGGAAGCATCCCTGCAGAGGACACAAGGAAACAAGGTTAGACCGCGTGACCACCCGGAGAACTGTGAGGCTGAAGATTAGCGTGATCTGTTGATCGGTACCTTGGCGAAGCAGAGGTAGAAGTCTCTCTTCAGGGTGCTCCTCTCGGTGGAGATGATCTGGTAGAGGACGGAGGCCAGCAGCAGGGCCAGGCCCACCCTCAGAGCGATGAGGAGGAGGCCTGCAACACTCTGCTGGATGTGGTAGCTGTGGTGTTGGCTCTCTGATTTAGAGTACTGCTCCCACAGCAGCAACGCTCCCTAAAACAAGGACAGTTTCACTCTCAAAAGCTCTGCCGATGACGTAGTTATGTCAAAACCACATGTAGGCTTCTCTGACTAAAATCAACCTACCTGTACGACGCCTCCACCAACAGCGACAGCCGTTGAAGCCGGAGTCTGCTCCCACTGCAGAGGTCTGGACTGAGGCTTCCTGCCGCGGCTCAGAGTCCAGCCCACACACAGGCTCAGCAGCATGTACAGCATGGACACCTGGGACACCATATCCCAGACTGCACAGGGAAACAGGAAATGGAAAAGAACGGGGCAATTATAAGACAGCTGCTTTAACAAAATACGAGCTTAAAAAGCATTTATAAATATACATGAGACGTATTTAAGAGAGGAACATACACTCTGCCAGGCTGCCCATCAGAGGAATACCAGTCCCATCTCTGGAATACCTGTAAAACACATTAGTACATTAGTTAAATTAGAAACTCTTTGGTTGAACTGAATAGAGACAGTTTAGATTCCACCTGGCCAAGTGGATGTAGCTGCAGAGAGTGGAGCAGCCCTGTAAGGCCAGCGCCGTGGTCAGCACTTTGAGGACCGTGTGCATGGGACCCCCTTTCCTCAGAGCCTGGTACACAGGCCGGCAGTAGATACAGCAGGCTATGAAGTAGACCAGCAGCAGCAGGAAGTAGAAGCTATGGAGACCTGGGAGCGAGACAACACAACGAGTCGCATTTTGTCCCACATGAATGATGCAGATCACTCAGGACCAATCCCTACATCTTCCAAACTAAGATCTGGCATAGCATGAGGTAAAACCATTACGCACTTTCAACCACTTAAATATTAAACAACTTTTTATTAGCACCACACACACATAAAGCAGTGGATGTGGACGACTGTGTATAGAACTCTCAATTCAAGCGGATTTGGGATTCCCTACTCTGTTGCATTAATAATGAAATATGAAATCTCTCACCTGCCTCCTCTGCGCTGAAGTGCTCCAGAGGATTTCCAGCCGAGTCGGGGTTGAGCATCAAGAGAGTAAAACTGAGATCAGCGTGGTGAGGAATCACTGCACCTCTCTGGACACACAGACAGGAAACAGAGAAGAAGAAAATGAAAGTGCCTCAGGTTTAATGTCCATGTTTGTGAAGGTGGGGATTAAGGTGGTGTTACCTGACATGTGTATCTGTCAGCATACAGGGCCTGCCAGGTGGTAGGGGAGGACTGACGAGGGATCGACTGGTTGTGCTCGTCTTCGTGGAGAGAAACTGAGGACAGGAGGACAAAACACGGTGAGCGTGTGGAGGAATCACAACACGTCCCTCTGTGTTTGGTGAACGCTGGTTCTTACTGGTGAATCGGGCTTTGGCGAGCCTCTCGGGGCAGCTGAGGTTGTCCAGGTCCGAGTCCATGTCCTGATACAGCAGCAATCTGGACTCCTTCTCCGTAGCCAGAGCGGAGTTGTCCAGCCTGCACACCAACAGACCGGTATCACCTACAGGGGGACAGAAACAGGACGTGGGTCGGCATTTCAACACTTTAAAAAACATCCTGCAGTAAGTATCCAGAGCCAGACACACCAGGTCAACGAGGCCTGTAGCTGACCTCTGACCTCAGTCTTGACACACACACAAAAACAAAGTGTCCTGCAGCAAGAAAGCCCCACAAAATAAGAGCATGCTTAAAAACACAACAACAAATCTGATACTGCCGGAACAAATTAAGTGGAACAAAGAAAGATGATTAAAAGCAACGTAAACCACCAGTCAGTGCAGATGTTATATGTGCATCGTTACATCTGCATCTTTAGTTACCTTGGTACATGAATTTAGTGATGAACTGGCCATTCTGCTGTCTCGCGGCTTCGCTCTTAAAATGTCCCGTCACACTTTTCCCAAAAGCCTCCGAACCGAGCAGCACTGCGACCACGAGTGTAGCTAATGCACGCGACATTTTTAACGTTATCGACAAATAAACGTCAGCTATTGAATTCAATGAAGCCACGAAGCCAGAAGTGAACGAGCTGCGTCAAGCTACCCAGGATAAGACCGGAAATTGGTTTCTGCACAAACATAAAAGTTCTATTCGTCTCACTTTGTGGAATATTAGAAAAATAAAAACAATGTATGGCGTAGACTAGAGTGATGTAAAAAAAAAAAAACATGGACCAATTTGTGGGAATTTAATATAAATTAGGGATACAATTAAAGATAAAATCGGTTGTAATAATTGCAAAATAATAGCAGTGTATTTCCTGAACGTACGCTTTGTAGTTTAGTATATGTCCGGTTTTAACCAGTAATACGTGACTTGTAATCAAAACTACGTTACCCTTCGAAAAACACCTGATATTAATTTTGTAAGTAAAGTAAAGTACTTTTATTTTGAAAATATTTTCTAACTGCATATCCATTGTAACTCACTTGACACTATTGACAGGTTGATTGATTTGCAATTCACCCAATCAAACAGCGCATATTTCTCTTCGTCAGGTAGGACAACCAATCAGAGAGTAGAAACCAGTCTGGACGCGTAAAATATCCCGCCCCTTTTCAACGTGTCAACACTGCCGTAAAACGACCCGTGACTGTCGCAAATCACACAACGCATCTAGTGTACTGAGGCAAATAGTGAAACTTCTCTGCTTCCGGTTAGCTAGCAGGCGTGATAACGAAATATGAAAACGATTAATATGTCGTTATGTCTGTAGGAGACCGTAATATGAATATGAAAGATGGACTTCAACAGGATTGTTCTGGTGACTGGAGGCTCTGGATTCATGTGAGTTTATTTATGCAAATTATACAATTACATTCATATCACTGCCGCATCACAGCTGATGCTGCCTACTTTATATTCTAATGGCTGGTTTTATTATACAAGACATTGTATTTAAAATGACGTATAATAGGTAAGTTTTTATGATCATCAGTGTGCAGCATTTGCAATGTATGTGTTATTAAGTATATTTTAATCTTCTGTAGCTGTCAAATAAAAGGACAACTTTTGCCAATTAGGAGGTAATTAAAATACTTAAGTACAGTATTTGATTTCTCTCTCCAGTGGCTCCCATCTTGTGTGTTCGCTGGTGAGCAGACACCCTGACTGGAGGATTATAAACCTGGATAACGTGAGTCTTCACACTGTCCTTGAGTGGACACATAGCTGCACATATTTCAGTATGCATGTGTGTGTGTGTGTGTGTGTGCTGCAGCATCTCTCTGTCTGATCTCCTCCAGCTGGATTACTGCTGCAGCCCCAGGAGTCTGGAGAGTGTTGAAGACAGAGAAAACTACACTTTCATCAGGGTGAGCTGTTCGTGTTATAAAACTAGAGATGCTCGTGTTTACAGCGACATAAACGCAAATCTCCTTTCTTCAACAGGGAGATGTGTGTAACTCACAGCTGGTGAATCACATTTTCAACACAGAAAACATCGACGTGATCTTTCACCTGGCGGCCAAAACGCACGTCGGTGAGCAGCAGCCGTTCAAACTGAGGCTCCACTCGTCTAAACATTGTACAGTCGCGTTGAAAAGCTTTTTATTTTTTGCTTCCCTCGCTCAGAGTCGTCGTTTGAAACCCCGTCTGTTTTCCAGCACGTCAACGTTGACGGGACCAGAGTTTTACTGGGAGCCGCCCATCAGGCCCGACACCAGCCTCAGCGCTTCATCTACGTCAGCACCGACGAGGTGTACGGAGCCAGTCTGGACCAGGTCAGTGGACCGATGGATGTGTGGACTTTATGGTTTTTGAGTCATTTCAGGGACTAGAACACCTATGATGTCTGCAGGTGTTTGATGAGAGCAGTCCAGTGAGGCCCTCCAACCCATATTCTGCCACGAAAGCAGCTGCAGAGTACCTGGTCCGATCCTACTGGGACAAATATAAGGTACACGCACGCTTTCGGACTTTGTGATGGCCAACACACAGACACATTAATCCAGGTTTTGTTCCTGTATGTGAAATACTGCTCTGTGTATTTATGACCAGTTTCCCATCATCATCACGAGGAGCAACAACATCTACGGGCCCAGACAGTTCACCGAGAAGGTACGGCACAAATGGATCCTTTATTTACAGCGGTACTGATTTTCTCTGCCTCTCACTGACATTTTAAAACCAGCAGTCCTCTCGGTCTTCCAGGTCATTCCGAGGTTTCTCACCCTCTTGCAAACGAACAGGAAATGGTAGGTTTGTTTGAACTTTATTTTGAAAAGGTTTCACTGAGAAACCAGAAAAGCTAAGCCCAGTTAATCTCGTTTCAAATCTGCCAAAGCACCGTCCAGGGAACCCTACCTAAATCGCGCCATTTCCTGTTTGTCGATGACGTCGTCAGCGCCTTCCTGGTGGTTCTGGAGAAAGGCATTGTGGGAGAAATCTACAATGTGGGAACAAGCTGTGAGATTCCCATCGTGCAACTGGCAAGGGAACTTGTTAAGATGGTGGGAACTGTTCTCCTCATTCAAACATATAGCGGGAGATAGCAAATGTTCAGAAAACTCATGAGTGTGGGTTTCTTTAGGTCAAGAATGTGCCGGACTCCGAGGTGAACGATTGGCTGGAGTTTGTGCCCGACAGGCGAGTAAACTAGTGCTGTTCGACAGGTCAAACATTTGTTTCGTGAATCGATCGGGGCGGTGATCTAATTGACGTCTGCTCCCGTAGGCCGCGCGTTGACCTGCGCTACCCAATCACATGTGAGAAGCTGCAGCAGCTGGGCTGGAGAGAGGTGGTGTCCTGGGCTGCAGGCATCAGGCAGACCGGTACAGACACAAACACAAACACAGACACAATAAGGCCAGTACATTGAAGCCCTAATCCACATAAGATGCACGTTTTAGCCTAAACTGTTAATAAATAGAAGCCGATTAAGAGAAGTTCACATGATGGTTCCCTCTCAACAAGACTAACTCAGTAACTTCTGTGTTCTGCATCTTTTAGTCAAATGGTACCAAGACCACCCAGACTTCTGGTCCAACGCGAGAAAGGACCAGATCAGAAGCCGGCTGGAACAAGACACCAGCGCTGTGTCTCTGTATCTCACTGATAACAGGAAGGCAGAGCCTCCCTTCAACCAAAGCGGTGTTTTAACTGGAAATGACGCACTTTATAATACTCACCGATTCAGCTGATGAGACATTTCTTTCCTTCCCAGTTCAAACTTGAGCATGTAGCTCTTAAATCCAATGACCAAATATTCTATTAACGAGGTTACTCGTGGCAGTGGAGGGAACTGTAGCCGAGTCATCTCAATCATTTGTTTTATACACACATTTTTCTTAGAATTCTGTATTTAACTGCAATAAACTTCATTATTTAATAACTTACGGTGCTTTTCATTTAAGATCCGACACTTTTAAAAAGACAAAAACAGTGTTTACATTTGCAAATCCAAACCTTTATTTGTGGTAAAATCAGAATAGATGCACAGTTTCTTTTTTTCTTTTTTTTCTTCGTGCAGTGCTCCTCTTCGTGCACATCTGCTAAACTAATACATAAAGCAAATACTAACTAGCAGGCTGGAGGTGCTGTGTGGTCACACTGAGGGGTCTGGCCAATCAGCAATGGAGACAACTCTGGGCTTTATCTCACTTCAATTCAGTCACTAAACAGCAATCAGTCCTAAATACAACTACATAAGAACCCTCTAAAGTTTATTGAATTGAAAGTAAAAAAAGCTGCATTTGTTTGGTGTCCCCACTTTGTTTCCCAGAATGCCTTTGGTCAAAAACATCGCATTCTGGTCCGTTGCGGCCACCGTTACTGGACATCGGATGTGTCCCTGTATAACATGTGGATCAGCTACAGGTGGCGATAAAAACATGTAAAAGACACCTGGATGGACGTCATCAGGTGATCTTCTCCCCCCTCCCCCCACTATTTCTGATTGGCCAGAAGCTCCCACACATGAGCATTAAACACACGGGCGCCTGAAAATATGCAAATCACAACAACATAGCAATAGAACCACAGTTAATTCTGTGTTATGAAGACTTTAAAGATCACCACTTGCCAGACATTCACAACAAGGGTATTAACAGGAAGGAAAAGTGTAAAGACTCAAAATGAACAAAACAAAACAAACATCTGACTTGGAGAGAATCTGGACACTTGTTTTTTGTACTGCATGTTGGTTTTTTACAAAATGGTCTTTGATCATAACGTTTTGTTAATTTTATTATTATTTTTCTTAATCCAAACCTTGGCATATATGGTGGTATTGTCTCAAATTTCGTCTGCCAATTAAAAATGGCTGTTTATGGTTTTCTTTATTTGCAATGGAAACCTGTCGCACAAACAGGTTTATGGATCTGATACTGAGTCCAATGTGACTTTAAAGGTAACCCGTGTAGGACCTTTCTCCTTATATGTCAAACGCATCACCTGTAACAAGCCGTCAGGGCTTCATAAAGGATCCTCTTACTACATCTTATATGGTACCTTTAACCTAAATATTTCTACCGATAAGGACGAGGACTACTGCTACCTTGTAAGAGAACTTTCAGAGGAATTCAGGGTCCATGATTGCTTGGACTCGAGTTTAAACTGTCGGGTCAAGAAGATGTTTACGCAGCACGAGTTGCTTTGTATTGGGCTCAAACGGAGACTTGGTGTTTTGGGGATTTCTGACAAGACATAATTTGAATGGGTTTCGGCACCGGTGACAGACTTTTGGGATGTTTTGCGGTGACACATTTTAGGAGAAATCCCTACACGTTGCGTCTTTAACATTAAAAAGCTCACACTACCCCAGAAAAATAGAAATTTTCACTCATACCAATGACATTCAACATTCAAGTGCCAGTGTTTTTGTTTACTGTCTTTTGGTCAAGTCACTTTGTAAAATATCAACTTTTGTATTAGGCTTATAAAAATAAATATTTCTCAAAAATGCTTGATAAATTACACAAACTAGCAGCGAAAGTGGACTCGAGAACTCTGTGTGCAAACAGCTGATTCCTATGTTTGCTGTGTACTACAACTCCACCTGGTCCCAAAAAAAAAAAGAAAACGGTTTCATATCTGGAAGAACCCACACACACACACACACACACACACACACACACACACACACACACAC